GTCCCAGCCTGGCTCCAGAGCAGAGGGATCCAGCCCTGGGAGCAGCTCCGGGGCCTCCTCTGGACTCTCTGCAGCAGCTCCACGTCCTCCTGCTGCTGTTCCCAGGGCTGGGGCAGCTCTGCAGGTGATTTTGAGACAGAACATTTAAACCTATGCATTGAAATAGGTTAAGCTCCTGCTTTAAGATTCACCAGCTGGTTTTGACTCTCTTCATCAGCGTTTTTATTCCCACTCGTGGTTTTTTTTTCAGAGTTCTTTGCCAGTGGTCAGTGAAATCTGTTCACAGCAAGGTGTGCTGGGATGATAGAGCTGCAGGATGACTCTGCTCCAACACCTCCCCCCCTTACCTGTCCTGCCCAGAGCTCTCTTTGCCCTCAGGGGTCCTGTCCCTGCCAGGGTCCTGTCCAGGGGGGTGGGCTGTGCCCCTGTGGGCTGTGCCCAGTCACTGCTGGAGATTAGGGGGTTATGTTGGCACTGGCCATTTGCTTGAGATTATCGGTTTAGCGAGTGCTGCCTTAAATTTGTTTATATAAAAACAATCCTTTGATCCACGAGCCAGATGCAAATACTATCTTGTGATTCTGATGGGGATTAGGTCGTTACAACATCTTGACATGTTTTTTTTGGTTTTATGCAATTTGGAATATGAGGGGAGGAGAACCCGGCCCTGGGAAGGTTCTGGGAGCTTTGCTCTTGTGCTGTGGCAAACTCAAATCAGATTGATTTGCTCCAAAGGCACTGACCTTCAGAGACATAAAAATAACAACCGCTCGTGCTGCCTGGAGTTGGTTTGATATGACCTGATTTTTCTGGAAGCTTGTCTTCCAAAAAAGCTGAAACCGCAAAGAAAACAATTCTACCTACTCTTCATCCTTCCCAAGGAAAGGTGTGGCATTTCTGAGCCTTCTGCTTGTTTAGGAACCCACTTTGAGCCAAAAATCTCCTTTAGTTTTCTCCTGGTCAGGAGCTTGATCTGCTGATCGTGCCCTGTGGAGGTACAGTTGGCTTTGAGCTGCCCCTGTTTCCATCTCCCACAGGGTTTGGGCAGCTTGGCTAACGTTTTGGGAGGGTTTTCTTTGTTCCAAGTTTGCAGAGCCCTGGGTAGGGCAGGTGGGGGTGTCCTGGCTTTTCTTTTTGTGCCTGGAGATCAGTCTCTCCATGAAGCCTTTCTAGAGGTGAAGTGCTTGTTTTCTGAAGAGCTGGAATCACCGAGCTGCCCCCTGAGACCCCCCTGGGTGGGCCATGTGCGGTGTGAAGCTCACCTCAGGCCTGACCACCCTTTCCAGGGAGAAATTCCCCTGATGCAGGGCCAGGAGTTGGACTTTGATGATCCTTGTGGGTCCTTTTCCGACTCAGGAGATCCTGTGGTTCTTGCAGCAGGGCTGAGCTCCCTCGCTGTTGCCTGGAAGGTTCAGCAGGCCCTGCGTGGCTCCCCTGTGTAATTCCTTGGAGATCTCCTGGCATCTGTGACACAGTGTGGTATAACCACCCCCTGGCCCCCATTTCTCCTTGCCTGGACTGCTCAGGGAATGCAGGGACTGCCAGTTCTTCTCCCAGTTACCAGTTAGGACCGTTCCAGTGAACACCAGACCTTGGAAAGCCTGGCAGCAGGAGGAGCTGGCGTGTGGAACTGCTGAGAAACAGGTCCAGGGATCCCTGGAGTATTTTCAGCTCCTTCAGGAGGGTGTAGGTGTATGTTTTTCTGTAAACTGGCAAGTTCATGTAGAATTTTCCTAAAACACCGGGATGAGCCACTGATGTAGCTGGGAAGAGTTTTCCTTGTGCTTCCCTGAGGGTTGGATTAAGCTCTGTGTGTGTCTGAAGGGCACTGGTACCACGGCTTTGTTATGAAATGAGCTCAGGGAAGGGACAGCAGCAGCTCCAGGTGACTGAGTGTGTGTCACTTGGGGAGGGAGCCTGTGTTATTTATTTACAGGGTGTTTGAAGCCAAGGCTGAGTGTTCCTCCTCCATGAGCAGAGCTGATGGCCTGCGGAGCTGAGCTGCTCTGGGGGCTTGTGCTGCTTGTGGTGCTCAACTAAAACCACTCAGTGTCATGAAGTCAGAGGGTACCAGATGGTTTGGATTGGAAGGGACCTGAAAGCTCAGCTCATTGCCATGGGCAGGGACACCCCTTCCTTGGAGCAACCTGGGCTGGTGGAAGGTGGGCTGTGGTGGGGGGTGGCACTGGGTGAGCTTTAAGGTCCCTTCCAGCCAAACCATTCCACTGAGTCCTCACCATGCTGGGTTTAGGTTCTGGATTGAGGTTGGCTGCATCCAGTGTTAACAGTTGCTTTGATTCCCTGCAGACTCTTCAGCCTGTGGCCCCACGGTGGTGGAGAACGGTGACCATGGACTGGCAGATCATCGCACAGGTACGTGTTGGGTGTCCTGAGGAGGCACAGCCACTGCTTTGGTTGTTGTCAGAACACTAAGGCTTCACCGTGGCCAAATGCATCTTCTTTGTGAGTCTGGTTTCCTCCCAGGGGGTTGGGTTTGGTTTAATGACCTTTTCAGAGGATTTCTGGTGGAGCAAAGCTTCATTTTCTTTGGGGTTTGAAGTGGCTCATTTGCCCAAAGCCTTGCTCTGAAGGTGGTGTGTTTTTATCCATGGTCAGTGTTGGGAAGGAAACGTCCAGGGCTCTGATAGAAATGGTTTTCCAGTGAGTCCATAACCTCCAGAGCTGAGCTCTCCCTGACCCATGGCTTCTGCTGCTCCCTGTGAGACTGACAGTGATTTTTGTCCAACTCCACCATCCTTTGGTGCAGTTTTTCTTCACTGCCAGGACCCTGCTGAATTCTGCAGCTTCTCCTCCCACCCCAAACTCCCCTGCTGTAAACACCTCCCACGCCTCCTTTAGCTTGTCCCAGGTGCCACCCAGGCCTTCTGGACCTTGTTCTGTAGCATTAGGATGGATTTTGACTGCAAGGAACTCGTGACTGAAGTGGAGAAATATTTCAGACTTGTGAGGAACCTGGAAAATAATTGATCTTTCCAATCAGCCTGATGTGCTGAGGCTGTGTTGATGTTCTCTTAGTTGTAGTTAAGCACTGCTTCCCTTCGGGTCTTCTTTGCTGTGAATTCCAAAATTCCAACCCATCTGCTTCCCTCCGTGGTGAGGACTCTGACTGTGGCATCTCTCCTTTCTTGAGATGAAATATTCCAAAGTCAGTTGTCATCCCGACATTGGTAAGAACTATTTATTTGGTCTCTCTTGTCATGCCCTCCAGCTCATCTCCAGAACAGATCATTGCTAAGATTGTTTGGGTGCTCCCAGCATTACACCCCTCCTGATCCATGGGCATGGCCCCAAGGGGGAAAAAATAATCAGGAAATAATGATGAGTGTATGGGAGATGGGGAGGAATTGAAACATCTCTTTGCTATAATTCTCTTTAGAATATCAGAGTTTGATTTAGAGTGTGAGTGAGTTTCGTGTCCTTATTGAGGATGGGAATATGAAAATTGATCTATGTGCTTAATTTGATGTTGTAAATTCAGTCAAGATGAAGTTGTGCATCTTTTATCATTTAAACTGAAATTAAGAGCGCTTCTGAACCTTCCTGAGGATACTTCCTCCCTTTTTTTTAATACTTAGAACTAAAAGGAGATAGGAATAAAATTGGATTTATGATACTCTGGGTCTGACTAATTAAATGCATCGGCACTTCTGTATTGAACTTCTGACTTGTGTTTAAAAAATCCTTTATTTGCTTCGCCCTTGCTTTGTGGGGGTTTAACTCTTCACACACTAAATGTTAACAACTTTGATCAAAGATGCTTTTATGTGTCTGAGGCTTTTTAATTTATTAATACGTTCCCTCTTTGTGGGGCAGGGTTGGATCTTTTTTTCCCCTTCTTGTTCCAGCCTGTCTAAAAGCGACATCAAAGTGCTGGGAGAGCAGCACGTCAGGGCTGAGGAGTCGTGGGCATCCAGTTAATTAGGGCATTCCAGAATAACAGAGGATTTACACGACACAATTCCTTCCCAGCCTCTTCCCCCTGCCCCCCTTTCCTGGTGCAGTATTGAAATGCTTATCCAGCAGGGAGAAGGAGGAATGCTGAGTTTCCATCCCGATTTTGCTGAGCTGAGCAGCAGCACCTGGAGCAGGTCCTGCCTAAAGCAAGCCCTGGAGGCCCTGGCCCAAAGCCACCTCCAAGTCCTGGCTGGCTTAATTCCAGCTGGATCTGCTCCTGGAGCTGTCTGTGTCTGGAAGCTGGAATGGTTTTTAGGGATGTGGGATGGGAGCCCCGTGCAGGGGTGGGGAATGGAGCACCTTGAGGGAGAGCTGAGGAAGGTGATGATGCTCAGGGAAACCAGCATTTGGCTACAAACCCCTGCTAAAAGCTACAGAGAGAGCTTTGAAAGGAGAACTGGGTTGGAGTTGGGTTGCAGGACAGGCTCCAAGGGAAAGGTGTCGTGAGGGTGTTTGATAACACAAACGTGCATCTCTCTGGGCTGCAGCACAGGAAGCTCTGCTGTGCTTTTTTTTGTTCCCTAATCAAATAGAACAAGGTGATGATTTGATATTATGACTTGCAGCATTATCTACAGCCCGTGGGGTGGGTCTGCAGAGCTGGGAATCAGTCAGGACTGAAATCTTGGCAGGCTGTGGTGCCTCCAGACCGATGCCCTGCTCCAACATCCCCTTAATGCAGCACATGGCAGAAACCCAAAACTCCTGGAGGTGGGGGGCAAACCCTGGGTTGGTGTTGAGTTATGTTGAGTGTGACAGTGCTGTTTAAACCATTCCTGCAGGGATGTGCACGGCTCAGGGCTTTGGGAAGGGAGGCAGCAGCTCCCAGGGGTTCAGTTCCTGGCAGTGCTGAGCTTTACGTGACCATTGGTGCCTGGCCTGGGGGGGGTGTTTTTTGGGAATTTGAGAACTGCATCTGGCTTTGGGTGCTGGGCACACCGACTGCAAGCCTTGCTGTTAATCCAGTTCTTCCTTATAAGGATAAATAGAGCAGTTGGAGCAGCATTCCGAGGGAAGGCAAGCCCAGAGCTCAGGGAATCAGCAAGGGAAATGGGGAATCATTACTAGCGTGTCATTCCTGATGGCATAAGGTACTGAGGGGGGGACCTTCACCATGCAGAGGTTAGGCAGGGCTCGGTAAAACTCCGACAGCAGGTTTAAAACAAAAAATAACTTGGGTAATTTTCGATTTGCCACTCCTTGTTGCAGGATATTTGCCTAGAGTTCAAAGGAATTCTATAATTAAAAATAAAAAACCAACCAAATTTCTGGCCACAAATCCATCAAGGATGGTCCCATGATTTAATCTGGATGCCTCTTGTCCAGGGTGCTGCTCCCTGTCTTGCTGGCAGGTGAGAAGCACCCAGGGGAAGTGTCCCGGCTCCATGCTCGTGCTGCCCTTGGCTGGCTGGAGGGGAAGCCCAGCCGGCTTGGAATTCTCCCATCCCAGATTGGGTCACAGAAATACTCTGCTCTCAGTGCAAATTGGGCTTTCAGGCAGCATCCTGAGCTCTGCTGACCCCCGGGTGTCCCTGAGCCAGCCCGAGCGCCGAGGTGGCTCCGTGGCACCGGCGAGACATCTCCAGACACTCCTGAAAGCAAAATTCCACCTGTCTCCAAAGTGGCTTCTGGCAAATGTCCTGGCTGCACTAAATGAAGTATTGCTTGTTGAGCAGTGTGTGCTACCTGGATGTTCATGTTTACTAACCACTTGCGCTTTCTTGCCCCTCTCCCCGTCCCCTTTCCCTCTCCTCCTTCTTCTCCTCTCTTCTATTTTCTCCTCCTAGAAGCCTAGACTGTCTCCTAACACTGGGGCTGCCACTGACACAAGACCAGTGTCCTTTTCTACCTGCCATTACACTTCTAAAATCTTCAGCATTTTAACAGAGCTCTTGCTTTGCCTCCTTGGAAGAAGCCAAAGGGTGGCCGTGCTGGCGGCGCTCCATCCTCCTCCTCCTCCTCCCTGTGCTCTGCAGTGCTTGTTGAAACCTCCCTCTCCTTGTGTAAGCACAAACGTGCACGATGTTCTGAACTGCACCATTCTGGTTTGAAATCACGACCACGGCTCCATTTTCTGTTTGGTCACTTTCAAATTTAATTTCTCTCCGTTTTCGTGGGTGCTCAGCAACAGAAGGTTGGAGATTCCAAGTTGTGCTTTCCTAGCGGATGGGTCCACCAGGACTGCAGCTCCTTCCCCTCCCCCCCACACTCACCACAGCCTTGTAGAGTTCCTGCCTTTGTCCCTGCTGCTTTGAAACCCTCCCACATCAGGTTTTTACCTGTAATAATGCTGTTTTCTTCAAAAGGGGTGTTTCCAGATCATAGCACTTACTAGACTTGAGGAACAGATTAGGGAAAACCACGTTTCCTGAGGTACAGGTGGATCACCTCTGATTCCTGAGGGATGGATTATGGGGTTCGAGCACTTGCCATCAAGTGGGGGTATAAAGGAAAACAACCAGCCCCAAATTCCTGCCTTAGGAAGCTGCTTTGCTGTTGTTCTCCTTCCTAAAAGCCCTGGAAGCAAGAAAGGGAATTGCCTTTCTTTAACTTCTCGCCTCGGGCTTCCTTTGGGGAATGACAGCCTTGGGTGGAATTTTACCTGCCATGAGGAATAATCTGAGAGAAGCTAAAGGACTAAATTGTAAAATCTGCACTGAAATAATCCTGAAAATCTGCAGCAACAGCAGAAGGAAGGGGCCTGTTTTAATCTGAAACAGAGCTACAGGAGCTCAGCAAGTGCAGTGAGATTCCTGCTGTGTCCACAGCGGTGCAAAGCTTTCCAAACACAAACCAAACCAACAGAATGGGAAAGGAGGAAATCATTTAGAGGGACAAGGCAGTATTTCACCTGAGACGGGCTCAGCCTGGGTTTTTGTAGGTGAGGGAATGTTCTGTGTGAGGGTAATTGTGTTGTTGTTGAGAGGTCCTTTGCCTACAACACCTGATGGTAAGAATTTACTGAACCCTAATCCAGTCTAAGGTAGGACCTGATTTTCCAAACTGCACAAAATATGGGTACTAGGACCTTCACTTGCCTGAAGATATCTTGTTGTGAAGGGAGCAGGTTACACCTGAGCACCCCTGGTACCCTCTAGTTGTTGTTGTTTCTGGGAAAACTCCGTTGCCTGGAGTTGCCAGCTCCCAAAACTGGGCTCTTCCCTTCCTGGTCCCACGTGCCAGCCTGGCCAGGACACCACACAGTTCACCGAGTCATTTAGGCTGGAAAAGACCTCCCAAGGTCGTGGAGTCCAACCCTTGAATCCTTCAGGTTGTTCTTTCCTCTCGGGGGATTTTTGGTGTCTGTGGCCATGCAAGGAGATTGTTGTATTCTTGGTTTTACTTCTAAAGACCTTTCCATAGCTAATTTTTTTGTAAATGAGGTTGATTTTGGAGCA